AGAGAGAGAGAGAGAGAGAGAGAGAGAGAGAGAGAGAGAAAGGGAGAGAAAGGCGAAACAGAAAAAGAAAGAAACACGTTCGATATATTTCGTCACTTTACAGAATTCTGGTAAACCTCACGGTCAAGACATGCAAAATTCCACCTTAGAGCTGATCAATGGACTTGTCTCGCTGATCCATCAAACCACGATGCCAGACATCGCCGATGAGGCGATGAACGCTTTATTAGTCTTGCATGACCCACACATAATCAAAGCGTGGAATCCTGAAGCGCCGATGAATACTTACTGGGATGTCAGCTCGCAAGTTCTCTTTTCAATCTCCCAGAAGTTGATTCAACATCAAATTATTAACTATACGATTATACTCAATTGGCTGCACAAGATATTGCTTCGCAGGAATGACTTTCTAGCTCAGTACAAGGATTATGCGAACGTGGGCAGCGAAATTGCGATTTGCAAACAAGCACACATCAAACTCGAGGTATATATCCAGTGGTAAAGCACGTCCATCGAACGTTATAGAATCATAAATGATAAAATTTAATTCGTAATGTACTTCATATTCAGGTCGTTTTCTTGATGTATTTATGGAGTATAGACACAGAGGCTGTTTTAATATCTATGGCTTCTTTCGGGTTGTTGTGCGAGGAAGCTGATATTCGTTGTCGCAGCGACGATGTGACGGTGACTTGTCTCCTTCCAAACTATAATTTGTATATAGATTTAGCGAAAACTTGGATGTTACACGCTGGTAAGTTTGATTTCGAATTTTATATTCTTTAGACTTAGCTATTGCCAACTATTTTACGATAACATTCTGAGACGGAAGAAATTCTTGCATAATTTCGAAATTTACTTTTAAATGCAGAGACTCATTTTAATATTTTAGGTTTTCGCGGTGTCCATGTATATTAGATTTGAGTCGCGTGGATTCTTTTTCGTTTGATTCGGGTCTTGCATCTTGCATTGGGTCGTTCCTCTCTGATGAAGCGGACTGAAATGTTTGCAAAACGTCGGAATCAAACAAAAAAGAATCCACGCGACTTAAACCCGAAAACCAAATCTAAAAAACTCATTTTCCTATCTTGATTATTAAAGCTCTTACTTAACTGCATTATAGCAGTAAAAATCTTGTTATCATAACAGCTCATGGGGTGAAGTTATATCAGGAATATTTTATCAAGGTAAAATTGTCCTTAGTTTTGAATTACCCTTATATACATTTAATGCTTGTATTTCAGACCAAGGCGGATTACAAAAGAGAATATTATTTTTATTGAGAAGGATAGAGCACTGTGTGGATGGCGTATACCCTGTATGTATATCATCTTTTTATACAATTTTATGCAATTTAAAAGAATTCTTTAGTTTACATCTAACCGGCAGAAGTGAAGAGAACCTTATGTCGATAGGCTTGGGAAGAGACTGTGAGAAGTTGGGAGGTTACTTCACGACAATTGTCCAATTATCCTAAAACTAAGACGGAAGATGGTCAAGGGGATCGCAGTACCGCGAAACGAAGAGCGGCACATCAGAATTCGGAACATGAGATGGAGGATCAACTGAACGAGTGGGCCAATATGACAGGATTCCTATGTGCTTTAGGTGGAGTGTGCCTGCAGCGTTCCTCATCGAATATGCCATTCGGTGTACCGTTCTCTAATTCTGAACCTAAGAAAAGTTCAATGAAACAACAGGAGCTTAGTTCGTCGTCTGGCTTAACAAATTCTAGCCAAGAAGTACAATATTGCCCGGTGACGCAGTTTGTACTCAACTTGCTACGACTGCTGATTTGTAACAATGAAAAATTCGGCACTCTGATACAAAAGCATGTGAAGGAGCTGATTGCGTACGAATTGAGCCCTGCCTTATATCCAATATTGTTTGATCAAATTAAGAGCATCGTCGAGAAATTTTTCGACCAACAAGGTCCAGTGATACTGCAGGATCTAAATACGCAATTCATTGAGCATACAATATTTATAATGAGAGCCGTCTTGGAGTCCAAAACGGATCAGCATTCGAAGTATCTTGGTATGACTAGTATTGAAGGCATGACATTGGTAATCGTTAGATACGTCAGACATTTGGACATGTCGGTGAATTCGATTTGCATTAAAACAAAATTGTGCCAGCTGGTGGAAGTAATGATGAAGAGGCGAGACGACCTGGCGTTCAGGCAAGAATTGAAATTTCGGAACAAACTGGTCGAGTATCTGACCGAGTGGGTGAATTGCGCGAACCACATTATCTCGACAAGTGGTACCGATATTACGGTTTACGCTAGGTAATAAGGCTTATATTTCTATGAAATCATTATAATTTTGATTGTTATGAATTTCTGCTTTCAAATCTGTTACTTCAATTACTACAATCACAGAGATTTGGATCAAGCTTGCATAGAAGCAGTGGCTGCGTTGTTGCACGGACTTCCCCTTCAGCCTGAGGAGTCTGATCGTTGTGAACTGATGGATGCGAAGTCCGAACTGTTCTTGAAATATTTCACGCTCTTTATGAATTTAATAAACAATTGCAAAGAATCGTCGGAGGAAAAAGACGTCGTATCTCGACAAAGGAACAGCAAGCTAGCCACTTTACGCGACACCACTATCCAAGCTATGAGCAATCTTCTTAGCGCGAATATAGACAGTGGTCTACGACACTCGATAAGTACGAAAGAATATCAGATATTCATTTATGCTTTTGATATAGCCAGTGGAAAATCTTTATCTTTTGAGAAAACAATTAAAAAACAAATTCTTTTATTGGATACGAATGCGTTGCGAAATTCATTGAATAAAGAGATATTGCAACTTTCCTTCCACTGACTATGCGAGAAATATCTTTATTTTCTATTTTTATTATTTACTACATTTCTCTCAAAGATTATTTCATTTGTTTGACTTGGCTCCCGGGTTATTCAGATTATCAATTATTAGTTTCAAGTCGTTCCTTTATTGAAGAAGTTTTCTGAAGAACTATAATGTTCACAAAACATTGAAACAAATTTGTGAATACAACGGGAAATTAGATCAAACATTTTATCGCGAAAGCCTAAAAAAGTAAATTTTTTTATTGTTCATAATTATCATATTTAATCTCAAATTTTTTTACAGGTTTAGGTTATAACCCGGATCTCCAAACGAGAGCAGCGTTCATGGAAGTACTGACTAAGATCCTCCAACAAGGAACACAGTTTGATACTCTTGCCGAGACTGTGCTAGCGGATAGATTCGAGCAACTAGTTCAGCTAGTTACAATGATTAGCGACAAGGGCGAATTGCCTATCGCCATGGCTTTAGCTAACGTAGTAACGACGAATCAAATGGATGAACTAGCGCGCGTGTTTGTGACGCTTTTCGATGCAAAGCACTTGCTGTCGCCTCTGCTATGGAATATGTTTTATCGAGAAGTCGAATTGACTGATTGCATACAAACCCTGTTTCGCGGCAATACTTTGGCGAGTAAAATCATGGCCTTTTGCTTTAAGATTTATGGCGCCAGCTACTTACAAAATTTACTCGAACCTCTCATTAAACCTTGGATGGACGAGCCTACAATTAGTTTTGAGATAGATGGTGCAAGAATTGACCCGAATGAGAATATCCAGCAAAACGGTTGTAACTTGATCGCCTTGACACAAAAGGTGTTCGACGGTATAGTGTCATCGGCCGATGAGTGAGTAGCTTCCGTACATTTTAACTTGTTGTTACGAAATCATACGAGAACATGCAAGCATCAAATATTATTAATTTACAGAAAATATTCCTTTAATGAAAGAAAATATAATTTATAAAAATAGTTACAAGAAGTAAAAGAGAGAAAAAAAGATTAAAAATTATAATAGTCTTTGTATTTCAATTTCAATTCCAGATTTCCTCCGCAATTACGTTCGATGTGTCATTGCCTGTATCAAGTATTGAGCAAAAGATTCCCGCAAAATCCGCAGAACAATATTGTGGCTGTAGGAACGATGATATTCTTGCGTTTCATTAATCCCGCTATTGTCTCTCCTCAAGAAATGAGTATTGTGAATGTACCAGTATCATCTACAATGAAACGAGGCCTCATGCTCATGTCGAAGATATTGCAAAATATCGCCAATCACGTAGAGTTCAGCAAGGAGCAACATATGTTGCCCTTCAATGACTTCTTGCGAGCTCACTTCGAGATCGCTCAACGATTCGTCATACAGATCACGTCGGACTGCGAAACTTTCGGCGAAACCCATCATCCGATGTCGTTCGTCTCGGACGCTAACGTTCTGGCGTTACACAGGTTGTTGTGGAATCATCAAGAGAGAATGGGAGACTACCTCAGCAGTATCCGAGACCATAAAGACGTGGGCAGGAGACCTTTTGACAAATTGGCCACACTGCTAGCGTATCTTGGCCCACCTGAACGTAAACCAGTGGACTCTCAGTAAGTCTTGATCAATACAATCGCATAATTCTGTCTAATTTAAACCGCGAAACTTACGTGCACTTTGATTCCCTTTCAGCTCGCTATTTTCGTCCTCTTACGTTCGTACGATGGTACGGTGGCAGCAGATAAGCAGCGACATGTCGTCGACGTACTTCGAAGAGGTCATGATGAAGCTGAATGTGCACCAGAGAGAAGATTTTAAGAGCATCCAAAGTATGAATATATTTTATCAAGCAGGTACTAGCAAGCAAGGCTATCCGGTATTTTACTACATTGCACGACGATACAAGTATGTATAAAAATTGACTTATAACATATAGATGACACAATAGGAAGTTTAGTTTTTGTAAAAACACTGTTTTCCATCATTACCTATTACGTATTACGTGTTAGGTGTAATGAGAAAAGAAATCTATTTTGATTTTCAGGTTCGGCGAAATGAATGGTGACTTTTTGATGTATCACGTAATTTTAACTTTAAAGCCTTTTTACCATTCTCTATACGACGTGGTCTTCGATTTCACTCACACGAACTCGGATAATCGTTTCCGAAAGGAATTTTTGCACAAATGGTTCTACATGCTGCCGAAAGTGGCCTACGACAATATCCACGCGGCCTATATTTACAATTGCAACAGTTGGCTGCGCGAATATGCCAAACGTAACGACAGGATTCTGGCGCCATTCAAGGGTAATCGAAAAGTGATCTTCGTGGATGGTCCAGGAAGACTGAACGATGTAATCGACATCGAACAACAGAAACTACCCGGAGCAACCTTATCCTTGGACGAGGACTTGAAGGTTTTCGCTAGTATGCTGAAATTATCCAACAAAGAGATCAGAGTGTCTGTGAAGATCGGATCAACGGCCTTGCAGATCACTCACATGGATAAGACCAAGGTGTTGTGGCAGTACGTTGCCTTGAATGATGTTTTCTACGCGTCCGAGATCGAAGCAGTCTGTCCGATGGATGAGAGTCAATTCACGCTGACCATCTTCAACGAAGCTGGGCTGCTGACGTTCACTCACAATGACTGCGAGAGCATTGTGCAGGCTATAAATCATATCAAGAATCGCTGGCTGCTGTCGCAGTCGGACTCGGTAGCCGTCCACTCAAAAATTCGGCCTAAGGACGTGCCCGGCACTCTATTGAACATGGCTTTGCTAAATCTCGGCAGTCCAGACCCGAATCTCCGCACCGCTGCGTACAATCATCTATGCGCGCTCACGGCAACGTTCGACTTGAAGATCGAGGGCCAGCTGTTGGAGACCTCCGGTCTCTGTATACCATCAAATAATACAATATTCATCAAGCACCTCAGCGAGACACTGGCGACGAACGACCCGCATCTTACTCTCGAATTCCTCGCCGAATGCATACAGGGCTTTAAGGCGTCGACAATCGAGCTGAAACATTTGTGCCTCGAGTACATCACACCGTGGCTGAATAATCTCGTGCGATTTTACAAGTCCAACGACGAGTGCGGAAGGCGGCAAAAGCAGCTCACCGAGATCCTGAACCAGCTTATCACGTTGACCGCCGAGGAGGTCGAGATGTATCCGAGCATACAGGCGAAGATTTGGGGCACGATCGGCCGGCTGCCCGAGTTAATCGACATCGTTCTCGATACGTTCATTTACCGCAGCGTGCAACATCGTCTAGGCTCGCATATAGCGGAAATCTTGGCGGATACTGCGGTCGCTTTAGCGTCCGGCAATGTGCAGCTGGTGGCCAAGAAAGTGATTGGAAGACTGGTTCGAATGGTGGACAAGACCTGCTCGTCGCCAACGCCGTTGTTAGAGCAGCATAGTATGTGGAGCGACATAGCGATCTTGGCGAGGTATCTCCTGATGTTGTCCTTCAATAATTGCCTGGACGTGGGAAAGCACTTACCGTATGTATTTCATACGGTGACGTTCCTCGTGTGCACCGGCTGCTTGACTATGCGAGCGTGCACTCACGGCTTAGTGATCAACACCATTCATTCTTTGTGCACGTGCAGTTCGCCTTCCTTCTCCGAGGATACATATAGGATACTGCGTATGAGTCTCGATGAGTTCTCATTGCCGAAGTACCACTTGCTATTTGGCATCAGCAAAGTGAAGTCCGCCGCCGATACGGCCTTCTACAAACATCCGGGATCCATTAAGCAGGATCTCTGTAAACAATCGAACGAGAAGGGCCTCAACAATGAGCGAAACATGTCCAATGCGCAGGACAGAGAGAGACTCTCCTTGACCAGCTTGGAAGTCATAACCGACGCTCTACTAGAGATCATGGAGGCCTGCATGCGAGACATTCCGAGGTGTGACTGGTTGAAAACGTGGACTGCATTAGCGAGAAGCTTCGCCTTTTGTTTCAACCCGGCTCTACAGCCAAGAGCACTCATTGTTTTCGGCTGTATTAGCAAAAGCATAACGGATCAGGATATAAAACAGTTGTTGAGGATATTGGTAAAAGCGCTTGAAAGTTTTAATGACATTACTCTGTTGGAGGCGATCGTAATGTGCTTGACGCGATTGCAACCTCTTCTGAGACCGGTAAGCTTCAAGTTTTCCTTTTCCTTGAATATGATGAAGTATTAAAAAATATATGACTTAGTATATAATTACTTTATAATTTATTTTAATATATGAAAAATTGAATATAAAGAATTAAATATGAAAAAGTATTTTTGGTTTTATGTGTTACTAATATTGTAATGTTTCTTTACCGTTTTCCTGCAAGGAATCACCAATACATAGGTACTTATTTTGGATCGCCACGTCTGTTCTCGAGTTAGACGAGCCGTCATTGTATGCTGCTGGCTTAGGACTTCTTGAACAGAATTTGCATACACTCGACTCCCAGGGTACTTTTGACACCAAGGTTGGCGTATTTCCATTTCTTTTTCGAGCTTCAATTAAATAGATTCTCTAAACATTTATGTACACATGTAAGACGACTCACTATTGTTTCTAGACGTTAGAGCACGTAATGATGTCAACGCGCGAGCCTCTAGAATGGCATTTCAAACAGCTGGATCATTCTGTAGGCTTATCTTTTAAATCGAACTTCCATTTCGCATTGGTCGGTCACTTATTGAAAGGCTACAGGCATCCCACCACAGTTACCAGAACGTCCAGAGTATTAACCAAGTTGTTAGCAATCGTGGCTAAGCCTTCAAAAAGGGACAAATTCGAAGTGACGCCCGTCAGCGTTCCCTACTTGGCTGGTATATTGTTACATTTATTAGCCTGAGGCTTAGAATCAATTTTTGTCAGAAAATTTCTGTTAACTTTCATAGATTGATCTTATATATTTAAGTTTATCTTATGGTCTTAAGACTTATTATACGGCTATATTGCTTGTCTAAGACATCTTTAGATCATTCAAGATTAGATTTGATCAAACCACGACTCGTCACATTATCTTTTGCGGCCTGTTAGATAATTTTTATACTACTGACTATATCAGTGGACAATCATTGAATTACTATATCTCTAGTCGCTAATATAAAACTTATAGGAATTCTGACGAGAATAGACTTATAGGCAATTTTGACGAGAAAATCTGAGATTTCTTAATTTTAAACGAATTTTATTCTGTGTAGCGTTAGTGTCCATCTCAGAGGAAGTCCGTACCAGATGTCATATCCGGCACTCATTCACATCCAGCAATAGCTCGCAAGACTCATCGAGTAGCACGGAGACTCTTGATAATATGCGCAATACTGTGAGCATTTCTCTTACTTGCGATGTTGTACATGTGAAATTTTTATAAAATCATCGCACCTTCTAGGAAGCATTGGTTGCAACGGAAACTGTTGTACCTAATCCTACGAGTAGAAGACAAAAAACTTGGGACTTGTTGGACCAAACGGCGCTCGCTCAAGCGAGAAAACAAAAGCAACATTCTGCACAGGTATAGATTATAATGCATTATAATTGTGATGTATATTTTATTATAATTATACATAAGTATCTAATATCTAGGTGCACATGTATAATTACTGCTCGTAGATCAATTTGTCTTTTATGAGACGTAGCATTGCATAATTAATTCAATCATCGACACCGTGTGACTGATAAGACTCGTTGGATTTTATTTCAGCGATCTAGAAGCGTGCCGAGTGCGAAGGAAGCTAAACCAACAGACGAGGCAGAACTGCAGGTATTGTTGTTCGACAACTCAATTCCTCAATTTGATTTCTTAATTGCAAATCAACTAATGTATTAGTTACAGACATTAACATATTCACATCTTTATGTCACGTACAGGCCCGTAGTAATGGGGTGAACCTGAAAAGCAACGAAAACAACGTCCTGCTCGATCCAGAAGTATTGACCGATCTCGCGACGCAGACTCTAGTTCTGACCGTGTTGGCGACTCTAGTAAAGTACTCCACTGACGAGAACGAGATACGAATTCTTTATGAGTATCTGGCGGAAGCGACTATAGTTTTCCGGAAAGTTTTCCCAGTTGTGTAAGTTTTCATTCGAGACTTATCGAGCGTATAGGTCTGATCCATGGGTATTCCTTGAACAGGATCAAGGAATATCCAAAAATACACGAATCTCTGTCTATCTTCAAACTGTTTTCCTCGCAGACACAACTTGCTCGATGCAAAGATCAATAGTGTGCTGTCGACTTACCACGACCAGGCGATATTGAACGCGGTTGAAGTCATTATACAAAACATGATAGCCTGCGAGGATACGAGCCAACAACAATTACATTATTTACAGAGCTGTGGTTTTCGCGGTCTCTGGAGGTTTGCGGGACCATACACGAACGTAAATGTCGAAATTAGTATGATCGTTTCTTAGTGATAGATTTTGGATTAGTATCTTAGATTTAAGAAACCAATTTCGCCTCTTTGAATATCGTCGGCATATTTTTACAGTCCAGTTGTACGCCCGAAAGTGCCGAATTGTTTGTGAACTGCCTAGAGGCGATGGTAGAAACGTGTCTACCGGTGGAAGAGTGCGATGGTCCGAATAGCAATGAGTCGGTTGCCGGAAGAAGTAGACAGGCTGGCGGCTATCAATCAGACACGAAAACGAAACAGTCTGTAACCGGATTTATCAGGAGACCTTCACACGCGTTTTCGGAGGAGAATGCTTCGCTTCATATATAGTAAGTTTCTTCCATCCACTTTTTTTCTGCATCATTAAGCGTATAGTCAGTAGATAAATAGACAAGAAGTTTATACCTTTTTCCACGATTCTTTTGCAACGTATTAAATAGAAGAATTTGTCTTCTTAGTAATTCTCAAAAAATAAATTTTCTTATTGAATGGAATTCTGAAGCTCCTCAAAGTAAAAGTGTTTGCAATCTTCCTGCCTTTTAATCAGATTATATTGTAAAATATAAAAATTTTTTTATTGTTTAATAAAATTAAATTATTTATTAAATCTAAGGAAATATTAACGAATTTGAAGAATTACTAAATTTAACGTTCTTCAGTGTTTGCAAATAATTTTCTGTGTGAATAATGTCGCGCGAAGCTACAATCGTTACATATGTATAGCAAACAAATTGAATGTTTCAGTAATCATGCAACGGAAGGTAACAGAAATAATTTCACGGTAGAGTCGGAGCAGACCGAAGATGCGAGTGGTACTTACAAATGTGGTAATAACGCTTCACAATCTTAGCAATTAGATTTTGATACTAGCAAAGAGAGCGATAAACGCGAGCGCAAGCGGAAAATTTGTCGGAGATTGCAGCGGCAGATGCGATGCATGAATTCGCACGATTAAACGGTAAATATAAAATCTGTTCTTTACAGTCACTTCTTCTATAATCTATCCTCCAACCTATTTCTATTCTTTTTCTTCGTTTCTACCAAATATCAAGTATACATGTATTTACTCCATTTCAATAACTTGGCGCAACTACGAAGAACAGATTTATAGTTAGCGAAGCATTTCGTAGTTTCCATTGCATTTAGCACACTCATGTTGTTGCAGAACACCTCCACCCGCTCAATTCGTTTCTTTCGAACTTAGAATCTCGCAAGTGTTGACTTCGGGGTATTGTTGTCACATGTCATGTCAGTTTTATACAATGCCGTCCACGTCACAATAACGAGCCTACACAAATGGAAATCAACGAAAGCTGTACTTTTGTAGTGTATTATCGTCTTCTTTTGGTTCTCATCGGCAATATGTGTGTATTGGCGATTTTGCGTTAATGTATCTGCGCATACATACGTTTATACATACTTATATACATACATATACGTATGTATTATTGTATTATATTTTGCTGCGAATTTTAAGTATATATACCGCACGTGTGTCGTTCGCTTTTACAACGAACTCGAGAAAATTATATTGTCATACAGATGTTCTCGCCGTGTACATCCTAAGACGTACATCTTAGCGACTCAGAATGTACAGCGTAGAATGATTTTGTTCGTTATTTGTTTCGTTATAATTTCGATTGCGAGAAACTGCATACAGTATGGTCAGTTTTACCGAAGAAAATGTATCTTACGATTAATCTGTAACAAGTGTTCGATATTTTTCTCCATAATTACGCACACATGTACTGACTAATTTTAGATTTGCCACAATCATGATGTGAAACTGTCGACACAGCTGGTGAAAAAACGCGACGTGAGGAATTCGCGTAAAACGTTGTAAGCGACCGCCCGCAATTCTTCGTTACATTTATTGTGAAAATACGCGTTAAATTTTTTCCTGCACGAGAAATAATGCGTCTGTTATAAGAGACGTGATCTCGTCTCACGTTGAATCGCAAGGCTGAGGCTGATCATGCGACCCATCTAATTAACGAGATGCGGAATTATCATATCTCAATAGTGACTATTAAAACAGACTCGTGGAGAAGACTTGGTTGGCCTTTCAGGGACAGAAAATCGCGGTTACGTCTGAAAGTCCGCTTTTCGTATGCTACTGTATACGGGCATTTGCAGATAAGATCTACTGGACCAGTAGGCGCCTCTCGTCTCGAGGTGGTTGAAGGCGGTTAACGGTGACAGAACGAATTATCTCTAGAATTATGTCTAGTAAAACACACTAATATATCTGTATGTCTACAACTTATTAAAGTACAAAGCGAGACCAACCGTTACTTTCCCGTATTGTATAATGTTATATTTTAGTATGATAAGATCGTGAAAGCGCGCGCGCAAGAGAGAGAAAGAGAGAGAGAGAGATGTATGTGTAAACAATTTAAATTAGTATATCGTCGATGTTACCAATGATGAATATGAAATACTGAGGATCATGTTAAAATACTATTTTAATGTTTATATCGTGGGAAGAATACTCGTGTCTTTTATGTGTTTATTTAAATGAATTTTTCTTTTAAGATCATGATAATACAACGTATGTAAAAACGCGCATATTGCAGATTCGTATAAATGCGAAAACGTGTGATTCTGCGGAATAGATATTAGTGAATTCTCAGTGGCACTAGGAGCGAAATTGATTCAAGTTCTACGAGGTGCGTCTGTACATATAATGCATGTAAATGTTGTACAATCGCGACGATTGTTTAAATTCGCGAGTTTTGTCCGTGTTGTACTTTCGAGCGAGAAGAATGCAGCGAAACGGTGCGTCATATAGCGAGAAATTGATAGATCTGACGATCGATAAGTTAATTTGTGCATAGAGTTTCTCCTGAATTTATATGTACTTAAGACGAAGCCTATGTACGATAATCTCATACTTGTATTTTAATATTGATCGAGACCCGAAAAGATATTTCATCATGATGTTTCTTACAGCGCATGTCTTTACATGTATCCAATTTATTGCGAAGCGACTTTAGTAATAATCATGAAATTCAGTTTGCTTTAAATTAAATCTCAACGCCGGGTTTACTCGATATTGAACGATGTTTTGTAAATTCGATACAACGCCATATAGTTCATATAAATAAGTTAAGACTTTGACTTATTTATTTATTTATTTAAGGAGCAATAATTGTCGGGTGCATTTGCAGCAGTCATGATCATCTCGTTGTCTTTTACCAAAGCTGTAAATCGTCTCTCTGCTGTGTTAGATAAGACAACTAATTCAGCGATCATTATTAACGAATTAACGGAAATACAGGCGTTCATGATTAAATAGCTTAATATGCATGTACTACCGTACTCAGATATTGTCATCTGTCCTGGGATTCTGTAACTCGTTATTGGTGTTAACGACAGTTTCGTTATCGTTGCGCAACTTTCCTACAGTATATAAAAGTTGCGCAATAATAATGAAACTGTCGTTAACTCCAACAACGAGTTATAGAATCCCAGTGCAGATACGATTCCCTTTGCAGACTTCGTGCTTTCGCGATGTTCGTGTTTGTAGAGTGTTATCGTCACGGTGTGAATTTGTGAATATTAAATTTTTAATGTATAAAGATTGGCGAAATTGTATGTATGTCGGACTAACGAGCAATCGTTCTTCTTATGTTTGTAGATTTTCTTTCTTTTCGCTTACAGTATCACAGTTAATATTCGACAAAGCCTATATCTCAAAGCATAATTTCGTTCTTTTGATAATCGAGTGTACTTCCATATGTGTGTGCCAAATATATTGATTTTCGACGTTATACAGGGTGTCTCACACTCTCTTCCGGGCATTTTGTGGGAACGTAGAACAGGTTGCAGTAAACATAAAAGTCCTATACCGTTTTGCGATATTCGCAATAATTATCGAGATATTAATTGTACAAAGTTTGTGAATGATCATGAATATGGTAAATGAGTTATAGTAGCGACGATTGCCGTCGTGTACTTATACTTTAGGTCAAATTGAACAAAAAAGTCCTCTACCATTTTGCAAATAAACACATAGATTTTTAATTATTAATTAAAGGAGATTATTATACGATTTTACGTGATAATGCACTCATCTTCTTTAATTAATAATTAAAAATCTATGTGATTATTTGCAAAATGGTAGAGGACTTTTTTGTTCAATTTGACCTAAAGTATAAGTACACGACGGCAATTGTCGCTACTATAACTCATTTACCATATTCTGCATGATCATTCACAAACTATCTACAATTAATATCTCGATTATTGCGAATATCGCAAAACGGTACAGGACTTTTATGTTTACCTCAGCCTGTTCTACGTTTCCACAAAATACCCGGAGGAGAGTGTGAGACACCCTGTATATATGGACTTTCTAAGTTCCCAGATAGCACAAAGAATTCAAAAAGAATTCAGTTGTATGTCACCTTGAGTACATTTTTAAATGAAAAAATAATTCTTTTTACCGAACTGAACTCTAAAGAATTTTTTTTTGCATCTGAAAATAAACTCAAAATTGGTAACATACGACTGAATTTTTTTTCAATTTTTTAAAAATTCTCTGTACTATCTGGGTTGTTAACAAGTCCAGAATTGGGAAATAATGCGTTATTTATTTATTGTAACAAGTTACTTTTTTCGATTCGGCAACTGCGTAATTTTTCACACTAGCAACGGTTGTATTTTTAACACGATTTTTTGGGTGACGATAAGAAATATAAATGTTACACTTTTATCGTTATTTTTACGTTATGTACGTGGGGTGGGTGGAAACGAATGGCGATGAAAGAAAAAGGTCTTCACAAAACTTGGTGCAAAAAATAATAAAAGTTTTAATTATTTATTATTCCATAAATAATAATTACGATAATGAATTGTCTTTCAAAATCGGTCATACTAATGGTAACGAGTTACTTTTAAAGTGTAAAATATAGAAATATATCAGATCACGAAAAGTAATTTTTTAATCTTGTGTAACGCGCTATTTGATAGAATATACGTTGGTCTGACGGTATCGCGTGCACGTGTGCGAACGAAGAGTGCCTTTGTGTGTATGAACATGTATATAAGAGATATTTATTTGCCTGATGATGATATGTGTACGAGATAGATAATTGTATGTAATAATAGTCTCGTGGACACTCGATTCGCGTGATTGGCGTTATTTTTCTCTTCATCGAATCTCTTCACGACGTGATAATCTGGCCTTTCTACGAACTGCAATGGGAGAATCTTTTGTGTAAATATATCTACAATTAAATGCTGTTTTTTAAATAACTGTAGATATTTATATTGCTGACGTATTTGAATGAAAATCTTCCTTAGACAATTTTTGCCTTCTCTCTTGTGTTTAGATAATGTTAAAATTTTATCAAACATCTAAAAGTAAGACTCATCAAACTAATAATTAAGCTAATTGATAAATAACTAGCAAAATTATCAGTTAATATCAATTTTTCTTTAAGATAAAAAAAATTAGTTATGTTTTATATGATTATATATTATATAATTATATATTACATTATATATAAAATAAAACAAAATTAATTATATTATATGAAATTGAAATTTAAAAAAATTAATAATACTAATCATAGTAAATGACAAACTTCTATTTATTTTAATAAAACTGAGCAAATAATACTTGATTGATAATGACTTTAAATCGCTGATTAGATTAATTCTTTAGTTACAAAACTCTTTTATTGATGATCACTCTAAAAGTATTTAAATCGAGAAGAGTACGTTATTTGAAAAGCGCGCTCGCCACAGAGTCGATAGACTAATCGTTTGTCGATGTATCCTTTGCATTTTACGTCAGTTTACACTAGTTCTTTACTTCCGTTTATCCGCAGCGACATATGTGAGAGATTAGCTGATATGAAAATTTTGGCGGGCTTTAGTGTACAAAATGGACTGGTTAGGAGCGTTTAGAGTATAAACAACATTAACATTATTATTTTATATTTTACAATTAAATTAATATTAATATTGGTACTTTAACCAGGAGAGTGAAGAAGAAACTTTTGAAGAATTCTTGAAAATAATCCCATCTGGAGGGTACACACTTCATTGACATCACAGTTTAATACACATGCGCAGGAGCTTCACTCGAGCCGCAAACTAGGTTCCGTTTCGCGCCCAAACAGTCGAGGCACGAAGAGTTGAGCGTGACTCGATTAGTGGTCTCTGATTAACATGAAATCGAGTACACCATTGCGGAAGATTGCGGAGGGAAACGCTAATCGTTCTCTCACGAGAATGCCGAGCAAAGAAACCGCGCGGGGCAAGATGCACGTCATCAAGCGCAGTAAGTTACGGATTAACCCCCCCGAAGTGCATTCGATTGCTTACCCGCAATCATCATTTATTCGTAAATAACGTTAATCTTACGAATGATGTAATGATAACGTATAATATTATAATATTGCTCGACTATCATGTATGTTGAACAATGTTATAATTCCAACACGCTATGTTTAATTAAAGTTGAATTAAAAACTCCGATTTTCATTAGATGGGCGCAAAGAGGACGTTCATTTTGATAAAATTACTTCAAGAATTGCCAAACAATGTTATAATTTAAATATGAATTATGTGGACCCAGTAAGTATCATTATATATCTATAATATGACTTTTTTATAATACATATGATATAATTAAATTTTCTAGATTATATATTTAATGTATATGTTATGTATATACATATGTATGTAGTGTATACATATACTTGCGTATATGCATCTATATAATTTCTTAACGAGAAGATATATAAAATTTTACTTTTGAGTAGTAAACTTTAATTGTGTTCTTAATTGTAAAATATGCATATATATATTATGATTCTTATTTTGAACTTTTTGTTATTGATGAAAGTAGTTCTAAGTTGCTTACAAGCTAATCAAAAGGTTTAAAAGTTATTTAGAGACATTAAAAGTTTAGAATAAGAACATAATAAATATACATAAGTTCTAATGATTTTGAAAGTTTGACTTTGTGTAATAAATGTATCTTTTTACAGTCCGCTGTTGCAATTCAAGTGATACGTGGTTTATATTCTGGAGTAACTACGGTTGAATTAGATAATCTTGCAGCTGAAACTGCTGCTACTATGGCAACTAATCATCCTGATTATGCTATATTAGCTGCTCGAATTGATGTGTCTAACCTGCACAAGGAGACTAAAAAAAGCTTTAGCGGTACATCTTGGTCTTATTAATTTAACTTAATTAACATATAATGTTCTTGATTATAATGTTCTGAACTTGCAGAGGTCATGCACGATTTACATTATGCCCGGGATCCTATCACAAACATGCCTACTCCTATTATCAGCGAGCACTATTACACGATTATAAAGAATAACGCAGAGAAATTGGATTCTGCTATAATATATGACCGAGATTTCAATTACAATTATATTGGTTTCAAAACGCTCGAGAGAAGCTATTTGCTCAAAATCAATGGCAAGATAGTGGAAAGACCTCAACACATGCTGATGAGAGTATCTGTTGGCATCCATGAGGATGACATTGACAAAGTTATAGAAACGTACAATTATTTGTCTGAACGATACTTTACACACGCGTCGCCAACGTTATTCAACGCCTGTACTAAGAACCAACAAATGTCAAGGTAGCAATGGCGTTCAATTAGTTTAATAATACACAACGGAATAACATCACGTATTGACAAGAATTTTTCTCCACATAGCTGTTTCCTTTTGACTCTCAATGATGATACTATAAAAGGTATTTATGGCACGTTAAAGAAGTGTGCTCTTATTAGCAAATACGCTGGTGGAATAGGGATCAATGTGCATTGTATCCGCGCAAAAGACACGGATGACATGTACGACACGGATGGAACTAATGGATTGATTTCCGTCCTGAAGTTGTATAACGACATTGCTATTTATGTTGATCAAGGAGGAAATAAAAGACCCGGAGCGTTTGCTGTTTATTTAGAACCATGGCATGCGGATATCTTCGATTTTCTGGAACTTAAGAGGAACATTGGTATTTTTTTTGTTTTTTTCTGTGGGAATATAAATAAGGAAGTGGGAAATTAATTTGAAAGTTTTTATGTTATCTTTATTTATACATAGGGGATGGAAATATGCGAGCCAGAGATTTATTTTATGCTCTGTGGATACCTGATCTCTTCATGGAACGTATGTTCAATGATGAAGTTTGGAGTTTGATGTGTCCGTATGAGTCTCCTGGCTTAGCTGATGTCTGGGGAGAAGAATTCAAGGAATTATATACTAAGTATATACTAAGTATATTGACAGTTTATTATAAATGTAGTATATACTTGTACATATATAGTATTTTATATATACTTGGATATACTCTATATACTTAGATATAATACTACATATAAGATAAAGTAACAATCCTCAGACATGTTACTAATCTTGGACATACTCTGATTTTTAAATACTAATATCTAAGCTTTCCTAGAATACACATATATATTTATGTTAAAAGTTTAATATTCATATTTACAGATGAAAACAATAAGAATGTTCAGGATTAAGTACATGTCTGAGCATTGGTCTTTTACCTTATAGTCTTACATTAATACAACGATGTAATCTATATCTGTCTTTAATCAACTTCCATCAAACGTTATAAATTAATTTTTACAGATATGAGAAAGAGGGTCGCTATAAAAAGCAAGTAGAAGCCAGGACTGTGTGGCTCGCTATTCTCAGGTCGCAAGTAGAAACTGGAACGCCTTACATGCTCTACAAAGATCACTGCAATCGAAAATCGAATCATCAGCACTTGGGCACGATCAAGTGCAGCAATTTGTGCACCGAGATTGTTGAGTACTCCAGTCCCGAAGAAGTCGCTGTGTGCAATTTAGCATCTATCGCCGTTAACATGTTCGTCAATACTAGCGATAAGACTTTCGACTTTAATAAGCTTAAAATGGTCGCGAAGATCGTCGCTCGTAATTTGGATAAAGTTATTGACGTTAATTTTTATCCTATCCCTGAGACAAAACGGTCCAATCAGAGACATAGACCTGTCGGTAAGATTACAATTTAAACAATGCCCGATTTTGCCGGATGATCATACTGACCGTAGATTAGAACTATAAAAATCGTGTACTTTCAGGTATCGGTATACAAGGTTTGGCAGACGCATTTTTGTTGATGCGATATCCGTTTGAGAGCAAAGAGGCGAAAGAGCTCAACATTAAAATCTTCGAAACGCTTTATTACGGTGCCTTGGAAGCCAGTTGCGAGTTGGCTGCGGAAAAGGGCACCTACGAAACGTATGAGGGCAGTCCGGTCAGCAAGGGAGTAAGTTCTAGTAATATTTGAATTGCATTTTAATGACTGCGCAAAAGATCGCTCTGCATAATTATGTAACTATCTTCCAGATCTTGCAATACGATATGTGGAACGTTAAACCGACGAATTTATGGGACTGGGATGAATTGAAAGCGAAAATCGCGAAGCACGGAGTGAGAAATTCGCTCCTAATAGCACCTATGCCGACTGCGTCGACGGCGCAGATTTTGGGAAACAACGAATCCATCGAACCGTACACCAGCAATATCTACGTAAGACGTGTATTATCTGGGGAATTCGTTATTGTCAATCCGCATCTGTTACGAGACTTGACCACTAAAGGTTTGTGGGACAAAGATATGCAGAACGAGATTCTTGCGAGCTTTGGATCTGTTCAAGTAAGTGGCTTTAATTATTTATTAAGCCGATATTAGACCGTTTTTTTTAAGTTTTAACAATTTTAACGCGACTTCAAGTAAATTTGTGTGCTTTACAATGTTATGTATATTTTTCAGAATATCGAACGTATTCCCGACGATCTGAAGGAGCTGTACAAAACTGTTTGGGAGATCCCGCAAAAAGTAATTCTCGAAATGGCAGCCGATCGAGGAGCTTTTATAGATCAGTCGCAGTCGTTGAATGTTCATATAGCGGATCCGACAACTGAGAAACTCACGTCGATGCACTTCTTCGGCTGGAAAAGCGTAAGATTGCTTTCCTTACCATTTATTTAACTCAGTATTTGAGGGCGTGTTATTTTGCCATTAAAGTCAGTAATATAACCAGATTGTCGTATACCATTTCTATTAAATACACGTAGTTGCTGCTAAAAGTACGTTATCGTTTATAGGGTTTGAAGACAGGTATGTATTACTTGAGGACAAAGCCGGCCGCAAATCCAATACAATTTACCGTGGATAAGTCGAAATTACGAAGTCGCGACTCCTTGTCCAGCTCTTCGTCCATCTCTAACATCGTCAGCCCTATTCAGTCTCCCAATAAAGACTCTGACAACACTGAGAAACAAAATCAAATCAATCAGCAAGCGAGTAAAAACTTGGAAGCAATACTTGCCTGTGCACGTGAGAATAAAGATGCATGTATGGCTTGTAGTTCGTAAATGTTTATCGTTATCTATTATTTTCATATTTGATTCTACAGTGAAACATGTAATAGAATTAAACACAAATACAGAATGTCAGATAACAAATTGTATACACATATGCGTATACAAGTGTATACAACATATATATACACACACACATGCGTATATCTTTTATTGTCAATAAATTAGCACAATTTTAGTAGGTAACACTAAAACAAATTTAAATATTATAAATTTGTAATACTATAATATAAGCTTTGAATATTACGTTAAATCACTTCTAATTTTAGAAAAATTAATTTACATCTAAGACACCAGATGAATCATACAAGCTGATATATTTTTGTCGACAAATCTGTTGTGATGTCAGATGTTCTTTTCATATAGAATTGGGTATATTGGTGCTATTCTCACAGTATTCTAGCACCTTGTATGACTATATTATACTTAAAAAATATCTAAAAATATTTTCTACTTTTGTAAATTGTATAAATTGGAAGATATCTTTTTCATGCAATTTTTCGATTTTTGCATTATATTATATTGTTAATCAAATGTTTTTTGTCAAGTATTTGCGCGTATACATTAATATATGTAAATTTACTGAAATTAAAATTTATAGAAGCTTAGAAAATTGTAACTTATTTTCCTATGACCTCTTTCGAATTACGCATAAAATATATTATATAAAGGATCTTTCGCTCGATCAGATGGGATTCAATAAATTGATACTTTATAATATTTAATAATAATATTTTTAGATGTTTGATATAAAATAAATTTATTTGTACTACATGTGAATATAAATTGTTATTCGTCCAATTACTAAACATACTAAAACTTTTTGCAAAGTACCGAGCGTGCCTTAAGCGGGGTCTACAATGGAAGTCATAAAGTCGTAAGTCGTAGAAATTGACCAATCGCAATCGAGTATGAAAAGAATAATCGACCGCGATTGGTTAATTTCTACGACTTACAACTATAATTTCTATTATAGACCCCGCTTTACAAAAATTGTACATGAACAAAAAGTTGTTCATAATTTCTGTAATGAGTTTGTGAACTTTCCGTATTATCTAGAAAGAATTTTTTTTTTAATGGAAGAATGCTCTTATTGGACAAGACGAATATGAGTTCGCAAACTCACTCCAAAAATAACTTTTTCATGCATGCTGTATCCAACATACATTCAGGAATAATATTTCATTCCAAACTACGGTTAGGATCCACTTGAAGCTACAAACGCTTTGGGACGCGTAATGGATGATTATAATTAACCTATAGGGTGCTTAGAAGCGTTTCCAGCTCTAAATGATTCCACCCTAGGGCTGCGTTCGGAAACACACTGTGTGTACACTACTAGATGATAGCCGTTGGAGTGAGTGAAATATAAGAGTGAGATAAAAAGAGAGGGAGAGTACTCGAGTGACGTTTCCAAACTCAGCCTAGATCTGATGAGATAAATCTAAAGATTACCTACCCTGTTCCATCTAGACAGATATTTTATATTCTTTCAGATGAAACTATTATAGCTTCTGCACACAGGACGCGGTAATGCTTGCCGCGCGGCGAAAGTTCGCACGACAGCCAATCAATATGTTGTTTTTCCATAAGAGCTAGAAGGTTATTACGGAAATCAGCATATTGATTGGCTGTCGCGCGAACTTTTGTCGCGCGGCAAGCATTACCGCGTCCTGTGTGCAGGAGCCATTAGCATGTTCGACTGGCTCTGGGTTAATCGCTCCGAGAGCGATTAATGACGTCATAAGTTTCTACTAGCCAATTATAAAGCTTATAAGTACTTGTTCGACCAGTAACGTAGGCTGAATAACCCAGAGTGGGTTAATTTAGAGCCAGTCGAACATGCTATATGTTGTATCTAGAAAAAATATATCTTTAGATAATAATATGTTTTTTCTAAGAGCGAAAATGTGAAAAATGAAAGATTTTCACATAGACTTGGTAATAGTTTCGGCACACAGAAAGCGCTTTGCACAGCGAGAATTGATACAGTAACTAATAATCTTCTAGTTTTTATAGGAATACAGTACGTTGATTGGTTATTGCGTCATTTCTTGTCGTGCATAAACATTTTCGCGTTCTGTATGCAGAAATGTTCTGAAACATTGATATTCGAAGCTTTCCACGTGAAACTTATGATTTTTCACATCTTCGCGTCTACGGAAAAGTCAAATGATCGTCACCCAACAGGATAATGACAGCTCGCTGAATGTCACTAGATAAAAACACGTGGCATCACTGCGACACAGCCGCACAGCGAGAGACCACGAACAGCGAGACATAGAACCATATTTATTTTGGTTTGGAAGTTAGTCCGCAACCGACTGTGTGTGCGTGCGTTGTGCGGTCGTGCAGAGTTACACCGATTTCGGGGTCGTATTTCCAAGTACTTGCTTATCGGAGATCAAGAACTGAAAAAAAAACATGACCCGTAAGTGCTGCGCGTTACCGGCCAGGTCGACTGTGTATCACTCGCGTGATGAGTCGTGGTGATAGGAGCAACGAGATCGAACCTCAACCTGACTTCCGCGGCTGCCATTGTCATTAACGTTAAATAGGGTCACTGAAGCGGACACGGATCCTCCTCCGTCTGAAAGAGAGCCGGTTTTCTCGCGGTATATGTCTCTTGATGAATCACCTGAGTTGAGAAGACGAGCGCACCGTCAACGACACGAACCGACGATGCGCTCCGAATCTCCTCGTTGCGAGCTTCTTCGTGAATGTTTGTCCCGCCGATTTTCCCAACCTCTTGACGAGCTAACCAACAGTTCAATCATATGTCTGTCTCTGTCTGATTTGAAGGAAAAGGAGCAGACAGACGTACGATTTAATTGTTAGTTGGAGTCTCACTAAGAGAACTCTGAAAAATTCGACGTCCAATGTTTTGACCAGCATAGGTCGATATCGCTGGAGGTGTGTGATGCGATAACGGCCGTAAACTACGCGTGAACCTATCTCTGATGAGAGGTGCGCTTTCGAATAGGCGCGGGTTTTTGATTCGAAGAGTTGAAGAGTTGAAGTTGAATTCAAGAGAAGAGAAAAGAAGCAACCTATTGTCGATAGCTCTTAGCACTTTTCAAATAAGCAATTCATTCACTCGTGATTTGAGAGAAACCTTCTCTTTTTCACTTTCATAGGAGTTGGTCGGATCCGTGGCGGCACAGTGACTCGTTAATAGCGCATGCATACAGCACCGAGCAATCGACTTCAATATCTATGAGGGAATCGCATCAATCATTTTCTGAGTCAGTGATTATTAACGTTCACGATTCGGACAAGTACAAGTGAATATGGCGGAAAATAATGCTCTGACGGCGTAGCCACTTCGCTTTTAAATTCGTCGTCAATCTCTAATAAATGATAGTAACGTTCGAATAAAGTACTTGGCAATTTGATAACGGACGAGTGACTCACTCGCTCGTCGATCGATTCGCTCGGCATAGTGTTTGCAACTGCTACTACGTAAATTTAGAAGCAACGTGCGAGTGTCTGCGCGTGTCACCATTTTACCAATTTCACTTGTGCAAATACAATTTTGAATTACGTGCGCATGCGCGCGCACAGACAGCACCCTTGTAAACACGCAGTATTCAAGTTTTAAAATGATGGAGAAGCAGGGATAAGTTAATTCATTGTTACGTTCAATCAGTTCAACTACTACACTCAATCTGTTGATTATAATCATTCGATTATTAGTTTTTACATCGGTATTATATCGAATAATTTCGATCAAATTGACGGAAAATATCTTCACAAACTTAAATATCTTTGAAATGTCTCCGAGAGAATATTTCTTCAGAAGAAGTCTGATTTTAGGCGGAAATCAACGTGAACTAGCACGAGCTAAGAACATGAAAAAAACCGTAAAGAAGGCAGCAGCTGAACAAGAGAGTAATAAAGGCCTTTCTCTGGAACAGCGCAAAGCACGGTGAGTCTCTTCACTTCTCTGTAAATTAAGATAGTTGTATCATAAAATGAGTTTTGATAAAATTCGTGAGAATTTAATGAAACTTTTACAACAGTGAAATGTTTGACTGCAATTAGAAAAAGATTGATTACTCGTGAGCTGAGATATTTGCAACTGAAGTTGACACTTTTGTGTTCCTTGAAGTTATTTCTATTTTTAATATCTTCTAAACTATTTAATATCTTCTAACTATTACTATCTAAATGTAAGATTGGATGAAAAACTGCTATAATGTTATTAGAAACTAAAAGATATACTTTTTATAGAAACTAAAAGATATTACTTTTTATAGATAGATAATTTTTAAAATTATTGACCATTTTTAAAATTATTGACCATTTTAAAATACAGTGGTGAAAGTTTATAATTTATAGCAATATATATATTTACTTACAGTAATATAGTAATAGCATTCCCTTATAGCATAAGATCTTGAAGGAATATCTTGAGGACTTGTATGGACATTTAGAAGTCCTCAGACTATTTTTAGGATATTCTGAGGACTTATGCAGACATTTAGCAATCCTCTGGATGTCTTTGGGACATTTTTTAAATCTTGCGCTATGTGGGATAATAATATTTGAATATATTTATATTTGAATATATTTGAAATATCTGTATATATATATATATATATATATATATATATATATATATATATACAGATATTTAAATATTTATGTACTTATTTTTATGATTTGTACATCTTTTAGATAAGCTGATGCATAAATAAAGCATTTATCAGAAAAATGAAGAATAATTATTTTTTCCAAAATATTCAAATTATAAACTAGGAAGAGCCAAATAAGAATCAAGCAGGTAACTAGCTTGGTTGTTTGTTTGTATAGAATATATGTGACTAATAATAAAATACATTTCATACAAGAAACGTTTCGTACAATCAGTTATCTGCATTGATTCTTACTTACTGGCTTATAATTTTATATTTTTTTATCATGTATCTAATAGAATATAATATTATAATATTTAATTTAATTTCTAATAGTCTTTTTGTACTTGTAATATTATGTATATATACTTACTCCAATGTTTAAATTAAGTGATTCTCAGATAAATCTATAGTTCTGTTTGATAAATAGTAAATTAACGAATGGCCTCCTTGATGCGCCATTGAAAAGGCGGCATTTGCCGGTTCAACTATTTTTTAATGAGTTATGCACGTTTATCTTATACATGTCGATTAATGTTATTTCATTAGTCTTATTTATATTATTTTATGAGTATTATTCATTGAGATGAGAGCCATTAACCCATTGTTTCCCTTTTCTTTTTAGTGATGCAGAACGAATGAGGGAGAAGCAACAGAAGAAGCAACAGGATGATAAGACAGATAAGCCTAAGCAGGCGGCGAGATAATTCAACGGGAGAAGTGTATAAATTTTTGCAATAAGAATGGCTGCCATCAATGGCAACAATTAAGATTATTACGACTGCAAGAGACAAAGGATAACGCTTATCGGGAATATAAAAGGTATCATCATGTCGTTGATGTTAGGAAATGTCGGCCGCATGAAGCCGTATACAACAGGACCTAGCCTCGATTATCTTGTTATTTACACGTATCGCTCACAGAAACAGTTGTAGTCAGTGTGTATAAAGCTTGTCGTTATCTATACCTAAATTCAGTCAAAGAAATTTTACATTTGACTGGTTTCTCTAGATATAAGGACATTAATTAAAATAATGATATTGATAGTGCTAATTTCCAATCTGTAAATTTTGACTTTCACTTATTTAATGTTATGTAATTAAATGTAACAGGTGAACGACTTGGAGATGTACATTTGCTATTATCGTCCTCTCTGGTTCGTAATAAACTGTTTAAATTTTAACAAAATACGTATATTTTGTGCGACATATGTATATACATATTTTTATTTCTCTCTCTCTCTCTCTCTTTCGCTCTCTCGTTGCGAAAAACAACACGATGTTGTTTTATTTATTTGCGATACGTCATGGGAATAATTAGTAAGCGACACTCGATAGATTATCGAATGGTGAAGGAACATGAAGATTATACAATCGTTTCCCATATTTTTATTGCACTTTCCCAAAAAGAGTACACACTTTCTTAACATACTGTTTAGTCGCGATTTCATAAATTCGCTTTAATTACAAGTATTCGGAAATATTAACATTGAATCGAGTGAGAACGGTATTACGGTGTGATTCGATAAGATGTCACTGCAGTGGAAGACCGAATCTTAATTGCTAATATGGGGGGAAAGGAAGAAAGAATGTATAATTATTATTAAATGACGCGAACGTATTGTCTAGCCTCTAAAGACCAAAACTCGTTAATGGAGTAGAATTCCCTAGGATCGAAAATGGTGAAATTCAACCCTCTTATTCGAAATAGTCGTTATTAGTCGTATTCTGATTTACTAGGCTGTATTTTGGCGTTCTAACACATCTAAAAGCAGGAACGTTCCATTCGTTCTTTTCTTTTCTCTTTTTTTTTTTTTGCTTTTTCTTTATCCTTTTCTGTTTGGCTCCAAGTTTAATAATATGCAAGGAACAACGCGCTATATTGAGCATTTATTTAATTGTAATATTATACTACCGGTATGCAGTAGTTTATTCGAAGAATTTACATACGATACTGTTATTAACGTATCGGAAATCCACTTAACGCAAGAAATTGACATAGACTAATGATCTTATGATTTTCTCTTTACTCGCAATCAACTGTACACGTGGTTGAATCCCTTCCACGTACTTTCATCAATGGCTGAATTCAAGATAACAAGCTGTTTTCTTATATATATCGCGTTAAAATGGAAAATTTACTTTGTAGAAATTATGTCAGCCGACTGTATGAATTTATCAGAAGAACGAAGCATAGTTTTGACAAATCTTAACGTTACAATAAAGAAACAAGTGTGATATTCGCGTTAACAAAATGCGTTTTGCTGGAATAAAAATTACGGAAAGGCACACGGCATCCGTATAAATTAATACAAACATAAATTATTTCGGCACAAAATCAATGGCACTCTCGTTCATTTTATATGAATAGTTTAATAATAATAATGCAATTATCTAAAAACACTGCTTCCCTCCATCTCCTGTTACGGACATTAGTTAATACTTTTACAAATGCTCGTATACACATGTAATTTTTATGATAATATCGTAATCGATGTTACGGTATAAATATTCGCTTATGTCTATTTCGATGATGCAACGTTTCTTCTTACACGTGGGAAAAATGTGACCGGATCACTATGTGTATATATTACTCGAGACAGTAGTATCAAAAAATTCTGCAGGGAAATTATACTCGAAGTAGCAGCATTACGGAAAAAAATGCTAACTGAGCTTACCTACTGTCGCTACTTATTATTACAACATTATTCATAACAATAGCACCATATTTGTATTGTTCGCAGGTAAATTGTATATCGTAAAATTTAATAAAATCCATGTAGTCTTGGAAACTGAAGCAGAACTCGATTTTGTCTTAAGCTAAGAAAAAACATACGATTGTAACAGGAAAGAAGTACTCGTTTGGAAAAATTCGAATGAAAGTTGCTTACAATTTTAATCATTGATGTCATTGTTCCTGTAAAACATCAGCAGCGAATGAGTGTCCGTATCGACAAATACTTGGACTATGTTCCTTCTGTCTCTCTCTCTTTCTTTCTCTCTGTACGGTGTTTCTCTTTTCTATTGTTATAATTAATTCTTTAATGAAATTATAGTAAATGCTTTGTACTTCAGACTCATCTTTTGTTTAATATGTGTTAGATTCGGTATATCCAAGTTTTATCAACTTCTTTGTTACATCTGTATATAAGAATGTAGGAATTTATTAAAATTTGCGTATTCTAGTTAAGATTAAGTGACCTACATGTGATTAAAAATGTGTTATATTTTTCTCCTTTTTGTAAAAAAGCTGAAAAATACTACTAAAAATTCGCATATAAAAAATTTAGGCAACTGAAAATGCACTCGAAGCCAGATATTTTTCGATGCTTTCGTCAATAATTTAGTGTTTCAAAAAATTTGTTGAGAAAGCAAGTTTCAGATTCACTGATGCTTATTAAAATTGGTTATTCTATACGCAAAGTATGTCTCACAAAGTGGATCTTATTACTCGTCCATGAATTTCAAGTAGACGAGTCTCGTCTACTTAGCAAGTGAATCATATCGACTTTCAAGTCGAGTTGTTATATCGCAATATCTGGGAAATTCGTAGTAAATTCATTACCGTACATGTCTATAAACAATGCATCACGCATTAATATCCATAAGTGATGCGAAGAACAACGACACCAGACACACATCTCTTTCTCTTTTCATCTGATTATTAGTATGTGCAATTTGATTCGGGCCGCCAAGTGAGACTGGGACAGACGAACGGAGCCTCACACAGCGCTTGTTATGAGCATGGCGTTTGTAAATCATATAATTTTTACAGATATATAGTCTACGCTACAAAGGAAGATCGCCATCTGAAAGTACGATATTTGTTTCATGAGGCAAGCTCGAACTCTTGGGTTTTTGAGAGCCTTGCGAGAAGAAATCTGGCTTACATTAAATAGTTTAAAAGGAAGCTCATCCTCCGAGTGAAATCACGGCCGCAGTCTGTCTCATCGAAAAAATAGTGCCTCTTCAAATCGCAATTTTTCTTCACCGGCTCACAATGGGAATGCTACTAACTGCGCGCGTCGTCGTGATGAATTACGGCGGAGTGGTACGCGTCATCGACATTCGAACATCTGGACGGAGCATTCTACGAGGGGAAGGTTTAATTAACGACAAGGGAAAGTCACGGCACTTCGAGTAATCCCGTCGTGGCTTCTTTGAATATATTCGGCCTTATGCTAGCGTACGTCGGAATTGTGACGTTTGCAATGGATCGAAGTAATATATTTGAAAAAGTAAGGACCACAGCTTGTGTATGTACTATGTGCATATTTCTATATTGAAACCTCGAGAAAAACTTTATTTTATGACACGAACTTTACGCTCGCCGTATGATTTATTTTAGCCAAACGTTCACTACTTTGAGTCTCTGTAATATCGCATCTTAATCTGCGTCTGGCTCTCTTGTTACGTTATTTTGATCGTACATCACCCAGCCTTACATTTTTCTATTTTACTTTAAAAGATCCGCTACGTCAATTTATTGTAACATTTACACAATCCAGGTGTACGCGTGACGCAAAATGCCGCAACTTTCCCTTTGCTGAAAATTGGTCCAACTCCTCTGCCTTAATTAACAGTACATGCTCCGTCCGGGTATATTCACATGTCGATGGGCTAAATTAAGTTACTCGGTAGCGCGGTATGTGGAATGTATGCAAATATTCGCGATGGATCACGGAGAAACTTCGAAGCGATCGTCTGTTTAGAACGATGCTCTTTTGGATTTTCCCTGACAAAGGGAAGGTTCGTCTATTCTCTCCCGCGTAACGTTCGCACGTATGTCTCTTTATAAATATTCATTGATTTCGAATACTTTCGACGAAAGAAAGATAGATATTGCTACTAACCGGACCAGAGTGAGGACGACTATTGATTTTCTACACAATCATCGACTCGCTCGTCTAAAATCTACACATTATTCGCACGGTGGAATAATAACGGAGAGAGAAAGATCGATCGATTTCTCGTGCACATCCGGTCGGCCGAATCGTTTCGGTTAGTCGTGACTTCGTGATTGTAAGACACGGATGAAGCGCAAAGACGAAGTCACAAGCGAACATAAGGACGCCAACGAAGGAAGACAGATTCCCCGACGAAATTAACTAGTCGCCTTCTTTTTGCTAAGCGAATCGCCACTTCCTCGTGTGGATGGGATCGTGATGAAAAGGAAAGACGTATTCCCCCTCATCGTATAGGGTCGTGCATGGAAATTTCCTTGGAGAAACTGTTCAATCTCAGAGATTGACCGGCGGACGGAGGAAGGAATCTTCCTTCCTCGAAGGGATTGGGCGGCTTGCATCGGTCGGCCGACCGGCTTGCGGCTTCCTCCTTGCGTCCGAGAGATCTCTAAAGATTCAGGGAGCATATCGTGCAGCTCTGGGTAACGCAATGGGAATGCAGGTGCGACGGATGCGACGGCGGAGGTGGCGGTGGCGGCGGCGGAGGCGGCGGTGGCGGCGGCGGAGGCATGTAGAGCCAGCCAGCGCCGGCTGGCCAGACGGCGGACGATGCTGAGGATGCGACCGGAAGCAGCGGATTGCTGCCGCCTCCGGCGTTGACATGAGAAGTCGATCCACTCTCTACTCACATCACCTGCAATCGATCGGAAACATTAAGCTCAATCGTGGATACTTGTCGAGCGCTCGGCTGCGATTCTCTGTAGGTGTGTTACATTACACGGAGAGGAAGAGAATTTTATTATACTAAAAGTTACTATAGGATTTTGTAACATTCTGCAATATTTCACTATTCTTTAATTCATTTTTTCCCTAATTCCGCTATTCTTTCATTTTATATGCGCTATTTATATTTTAGGAACTGAAATGTACTGTTTAAACATTTGCTATGTTTCTGACGAGATTTATAGATACTATTCTAATAAGTAAAATTAGCGGTATGCCGGCAGATTGGCAGTAGATTCGATCAGAATACCGATTAGATAGCAGATCTGTAACCACCTGTCTCCGCATTAAACTGATGTTCTATCGGTAGAGTCTGCTGACATAACTTGACAGCAAATTGGGGGCAGAAGGTGAGCAGTATAAATTCTATTTAAATACACTTAAATGGTTACGGAACGACAGATCCTGCTCGGTTTCTGCCATCAATCTGTCATCATACTCTGCTGGCATATACTATTGCATTTCTGTTAGTAAGCTGACAAAATTTACAGAAGACACTGCGCAAAATCTATTTCTGCAGATTTGGTTATTTGGAATGTTACTTAGCGAGGTAGACGTTATTGACAATCTATCCCTGGACTATTAAAAACGTAATAAAATTGAAAAGAATCTATGTGAAAAACTGTCTCTTCATGCATAAATCACGCGTTGACCAGATCCAGATCTGGAATGCTATTATGGACTTGTTTGCAATAGACTCCGATCGGAATAGTTCAGTTGTCACGTAGACGTTTATTGTGTTTGCTAGGGAAAACATGCGGAATTATTACGATCGAAATCCATCACAAACAGTTCTATAATACGCGCCCTGATCGCGTCGCTAATCCTGTTCGTTCGTTAGTCCAGAGTCATCGTTCTATGAAATGAGAACCGGTAAACCGCCGAGCATGCGGTCTCCTCTTGATGACCCGAATATGTACGCGTACATACGTAAGTACGAGAAAAATTACAAGTTGCGGTTATTTGAACAGTAGCATATATGTATTATATGATACTCGTTAATGCACATAACGTTGTTTACGCCTTATGCTAAATTACCATTGCGTTACGTCGCTATCAGTTTATACCAGGTGTTTCACAAGTGCAACACGCTCTCCTGAGAGTTCCGAGAAAAAGAAACAAGAATTTCTAGCGCGTCAGAGGAGATAAACATGATGATAATTATTGTTGCTCATATGTCATTATCGATTTATATCAGGTGTTTCTCAAGCGTTCTCCTAGATTTTTGGATAAAAAGAAAAAGATTTTCAGAATTAGGCGAGAGCATGATGGTAATGGCAGGAATCAAGGTTTAATGATTGTTGTTTATAATTATTATATCCTCCTAAATTTATCTAGCTGATCTAGAAATATACTTCAATCACAGATAATCACGATTAAATTCTAACTGAGCACTGATTTCTGGGACTTTGCTAATTACTACACGGAAAAAGTACTGTAATAAAAATTACAATAAAATTTTTATAATCTTGGTAGTTACGATCGATATTATTATATATTTGTTTAAAAATGTTATTTGGTTCTTTACCATAAAATTATTGCAATTGAAACTTGAATATTTTTTTTATATATTAAGTAGATTGTCAAATTTACTATTTTTATAGTAACTTTTGCTACAATTTCAGCATAGCCCAGAATTTCGCAAAAAACGTAAAAAAAATATAATTTTAATGTAATTTTTACCACAATATTTTCTCCGTGTATTTCATTGTGTTATGTCATTATCGATTCATATAGCAGTTTTATGAGTGTCATGTGATGTGATGATACAGGGTGTCTCATGAGTGTGATGATACAGGGTGTCTCACACTCTCCTCCGGGCATTTTGTGGGGACGTAGAACAGGTTGAGGTAAACATAAAAGTCCTATATCGTTTTGCGATATTCGCAATAATTATCGAGATATTAATTGTAAAAAACTTGTAAATAATCATGCAGAATATAGTAAATGAGTTATAGTAACGACGACTGCCGTCGTGTACTTATACTTTAGGTCAAATTGAACAATAAAGTCCTCTACCATTTTCCATATAATGATATAGATTTTTAATTATTAATTAAAGAAGATTATTGCACGATTTTGCGTGATAATGCACTTATCTTCTTTAATTAATAATTAAAAATCCATGTGATTATTTGCAAAATGGTAGATGACATTTTTGTTCAATTTTATCTAAAGTATAAGTACACGACGGCAGTCGTCGCTATTATAATTCATTTACCATATCCTGTATGATTATTCACAAATTTTCTACAATTAATATCTCGATAATTATTGCGAATATCGCAAAACGGTACAGGACTTTTATGTTCACTGCAACCTGTTCTACGTTCCCACAAAATGTCCGGAGGAGAGTGTGAGACACCCTGTATAACGTCGAAAATCAATATATTTGGCACACACATATGGAAGTACACTCGAATTAACAAAAGAACGAAATTATATTTTGTGGGAACGTAGAACAGGCTACGGTGAACATAAAAGTCCTGTACCGTTTTGCGATATTCGCAATAATTATCGAAATATTAATTGTAGAAAATTTGTGAATAATCATACAGGATATGGTAAATGAGTTATAGTAGCGACGACTGCCGTCGTATACTTATACTTTAGGTCAAATTGAACAAAAAAGTCCTCTACCATTTTGCAAATAATCACATAGATTTTTAATTATTAATTAAAGAAGATGAGTGCATTATCACGTAAAATCGTACAATAATTTCCTTTAATTAATAATTAAAAATCTATGTGTTTATTTGCAAAATGGTAGAGGACTTTTTTGTTCAATTTGACCTAAAATATAAGTACACGACGACAATCGTCGCTACTATAACTCATTTACTATATTCTGCATGATCATTCACAAACTTTCTACAATTAATATCTCGATAATTATTGCGAATATCGCAAAACGGTATAGGACTTTTATATTCACCTCAACCTGTTCTACGTCCCCACAAAATGCCCGGAGGAGAGTGTGAGACACCCTGTATATTCTTCTGGATAAAAAATGAAAAACACATTTTCGTACAGCGAAAGAAAGTGGATTTGCAGTGTTAGTAAGGATTATGGCGATAATAGCAGTGGTATTTCAAATAGTTTCTGATTAGAATGGAAAACTCACGGTTTAGATAATTTGCGTTCGCAACTACTTCGGATAGTATCGATGCAGCGAGAGCGGTTTCTCTTACGAGCGTAATTACGGCCAATAGCGTAAGATTTCAGGCAAGAGTTCGGCGACTTGAGTTACACTGCGAGAGCTCTGGTTTCGTCATGTAATTAATTGCAAGCGCGCCTATACACACGCACGGTTAAGGAGCGTCTACACGGGAGGCAATTTCTGCGTCAGTATTCAGTGAGTATTATTGAGAATCAAATCGGGTGCATATCGGTGGTGATGTATCGATATGACGACTCAGTGTAACGCAAATAATTATAAAAGCTGATAATGTTCAGCGAGTGTTAACCGAGACAACATAATGTCTAAAATCGGGACATAAGACGTCTTAAATATCATCTTTAAAGACATTTGTACGTAAATCTAAAAGACATCTTAAAGATGATCTCTAAGACGTTTTATGTCCGATTTTAGACATTATGTTGTCTGGGAATGTTTTAATAAAGCTAATATAGGTTCCACAGTTGACAAGAATTTAAGTTTTACTTAGCAACGACAGTTGGACATGTCGACAATTGGATCTTAGGAATTAAAGATTGCGATTACAACAAAACGATCGAATAAAAATAGAAGAGGGAAAAGAGAGAATATATGTTACCTGTAGAATTTGGCTGGCTTCGAAGGCTGTTCCGGGCAACAATATAACCGGACTACTAACGTGTCCGCTCTCGACGCATATCATGTTGGGAAATTCGTCGTCGCCAAAGTCCGGTATATCGCGCGCCTTCTCTTGCCAGGGATTCCACACGACGGTGTCGGGAAAGTTATACTTCTGCACGCGCATCTTCCTGCCGGACACGACATTTGTGATGATATGCTCCGGCTGCGTGTTCTGGTAGATCCTGTCAGTCCATTCGCACACTGTTACGACGTCGCGGCCTTCTTGGAAGACTTGGTTGTCCCTGGTCTGCGCGCGAGAATAAAACGTCTTGAGAGGCACGTGAGTGTGATACGCGGTTCGTGATAATTCGAATTTAACCAAGTTTTGTCTGTGTTCCTTTCGACAAGTTTTAATTAATAAGTACCAATCGAAGGAATAGAGGATTTTTAATTAATACGAACGAATGAAAGAATAGAGAGACATTTTGAGTGCTCTTTAAAGCTCATATTAATAATTTTTACTTAAAGCTCGTTGATTTTGTGACACTAGATGACGTGTAAGTGACGTGTGGATGCTTGGTTAATGTGGCACGTGAGTTTGGAATGTTTTTAGCGTATTACGTATGGGAGATCAGGTTAAGGAAAATTAAATAAGAATGAGTACGTGAATAGTGTGAAGATGAAACGAAGTAGGAAAGTAGGATTCAAAATAGTGCATAATGACGTTATAAGCAACGAGTAATTAGAATAATTTAGGTAATGTAGGTAAGCTAAAATTAGTATTGTAATGCAGAGGAATTATCAATAGAAGAAATGTATAACAGGTAGAGTAATAAAAGACAGAAATATACAAGAAATAGAGAAAGAGGATACAAAGAATAAAGAGGAATAATTTGAGTACAAAAGAAAGGTTTAGTCATCGAAAAGCATAAGGAAGTAAACTAAAAGTATATGGAAAAAGGATGACACAAGGACTGGTGAGAGAAATGTTGTGTAAGTAAGAAGGGTGAAGTGCAAAGAGGAAGGTTATAGGATATGGAAAACTCCTTGGCAATGTAAGCTGAAGGAGATACATAGTAAGCGAAGAAAAAGGCAGAGGAATCACCTCGTGGAGTTAGGAGGTATAGAGTGGAATAATGAAACTAACAAGACATGGAAAAGAATTGAGGGAAAAGAGGATGAAGAGGAAATAAGGAGAGCAGTGAAGAGATCAGATAGCAAGAAGAAAGATTAAAGGATAGGTATATACACTTGAAGGAAAATGCCTGAAATACTGATATTTGAGCTTGCCTCATATGAGATACTTGGATTTGAATTTAGATCTAATTGTTTTAGTTAAATCGTATGAGTATGTAACATTATATCTGTAACCGCAATTCAACTGAAAAACTCATCTAATTCAAATGTGTCTCACTTGAGACAAGTTTCAGATAATGATTATTAATGCAGGTCCGATTCCTCTCTTTTTCGTTACAAATTTGTAAGAATATCACACAGATTATAAAGATTATACAGAATATCACACAGATTATAAAGAATATCACACGCGGAGAATATCAACTTGCGTAACCGTGAGACTTGGTTCCTTTTATCCGATTAGCTTTTCGTGTAGACGTTATGGACGTTTGAAAACAAACGACTCTTTCTTCCCGCGAACTTCTCAAAAGACTCTCCGCGGATATTTATGTTCCTCGGTATAGTGCCTTAGCGGCACGCCGTGGAGATCTTTACCTTGTCGATAAACGTGCATCCGTGTAGCCCTGTGATCTGGCACCTCCTGACGTCGGGTACCTTGAAGTAAGTGTGAAGGAGCAAATTAAAGCTGAACGTGTCGTCTCTGCTAGGATTGTACACGCCGATATTGAAGTGCAGCTCTTTCTCGCGCAATATTAGCCTGTACGTTAACCTAAACTGTGAGTTCCACAACGATCGCGTGAATTCGCTGTCCATTATCGAGAATATCGCCTCGACGTCTCCGCTGGGCAATCGCTCCGGCGATTTCTCCACGTTCCAACGAATGATCCTGGCGAATCCATGAGGTGGTCCGAATGTCCACGCTCCGAATTGTGCTGCAGCAATTATGTGCGTCATTACGAGCGAATCGTTATGAACATAATCGCTTTCTATCCTTGAAAAAAGTGTCTCAACCCATGTCGACTGTCGATAATTATCTTTTGGAACTTTCATTTGTTTCCTCGCGTCAAACTCGCCCTTACACCTTTAATTTTTTTGAGGTAGTTATGTCATGAGATTAGTTAGAAATTCATTGCAACTTCCACTATGTATCAGTTAAAATATAATATTATATTATATTATATTATCTAAGTGTATACAAAATATAATATTATATTATATTATCTTAGTGCATACAAAATTTGAAAAAGATTGACTGTGTGTGAGTTGAGATAAAAAATATAATATATTTCATATATATAACATAATATAACATAATATATCATATGTATAACATAATAAAAAATATAATAATGATATGACATTTGAAGCTTTTTTTCTATATAGAAATCAATATTTTTATATCACAATATCGCGTATATGTGTATATACATATATTTATTTATCGCATATATTTATTTATATTTATTTATCGAATTTTTTAAAAATTAACATTTATTATTTGGATAATGAAATAGATTTCAATGAATGGAAAAATAATTCATGGAAAAATAATCATGGAAAAATAATTTTGCTCGAGAAATAATAAATTTTGTTCGAGAAATAATAAATTTGCGAGAGATTGTTTTGATGCTGCAGTGGAAAATTCATCAACGCGCAAATCAATTATCTTAATGCTCCGATGCTACCATTAATAGTATACCGTAATTGTTTCGTCTGTTATACTCACGGAAGACGAATGGTATGCCGCCTCTAATCGCCTTCTTTCCATCGAATACAGCTTGCTTACTGAAACACGTAGAATCATCTATTTGAGAAAGGAAACATGAAAATATTCCCAAGATATTTGATTTTGCCTCGTATATCTCTCGACACCTTGACGTCTTAATAATAATCTTAATGATCAATTGATAGGCACACACGATATGCAATATCAAATTTATTACTGTACATATATCAAACGTATTGTACGTATATCAAATTTATTACTGTACTTCTAGAGATCTCCGACGAATTCCTATTAACTAAGGAATAATTTCTTCTGAAAAACCGGAGAGAATTTATTATTATTTCGAAAAGGATACGCGAATTCGTTCGTTCGTTCGTTCGGACCACGGGTATTATTATCTATTATTTTCTCGCGGTAATAACAAAAAAAGAAAGACATCGATAACGTTGAAAAATATACAAATGAACGAGCAGTACATAGCGTTTCTTTCGTTCCGTTGTTCGTTGCTAACGTTGTTGCGGTGAACTGCGCGCGTATCGCATGTCAAATTAATGAAACCGCGTGTAGAGCACATAAATATTACGAGCTCTCGTCTCTCTCAGTTGGCAATAATGATGAATATTTTTACAGAACCCGACGCGCAAATAGCGGTCGTGTTTTATGCGGCATTTAATGCGCGCCATTACTTATGGGTGTCCTAATGTAACGGTTTAGTTAATTAGTTTATTCGCGCGGCTGGCTATTTTGCCGACACGGGGATTATAGAATAGAATTCGCAATGTGATTTCATCGTGATCATTGCGATCGCCGATGTCCAATGTTAAAAAACTATCAAAAAATAACGACGGACCGAGGAGATGCGCCAAATAAATCCTCATTCGCTCCTCTTTTCGTTTTGCACCCTTTATATTCTTCCTTGACGCGTGTGTATGTGTGTGCATGTGTGTGTGTGTATGCGCGCGGTTTAGACGCCCGCGTGAAAGCTCCATCGGCTCGTTTAACTAATTTACGAGGACTGTGCGGAATTTTACGATCGCGTATTGTGTGTCGAGCGGAGACAAGGTTGAAAGGATCGGGTGGTTCAGCGGCGATGCATTATAAATAATCATGTAAAATCCTATAGTGGATTCTATATTTTATAGAAACCGGCAGGAGACAGGAATAGACGGGAGGAAACCGCGATTAGTTTTTCAGCATTACCACGTGCGACTTCGCGAAATTTTTGAAATGCACAGAACGTGTACTCTTGACATTTCTTCGAGTGAGGTCCCATGTGAAAGTCGGAGTGACCATCAAGTCACTCGGATTCGAATGATTTTTCACTTATATAAAGTGAATTCTTCTTGGTCGTCGAGTGAATATCTTCAATTCGACTTTGAAGAATGAATCTGGTGTGTTGCACCGTCACAGAAACATATTCACGCCAGTCGACTGAAACATTTCATATGGAGTCAGAATTCACTCCTTTGACGCGAAAATGTCTAGGAAATTATATGATGAAATCTGAATTATCTGAATGAAATTTGTAATGCTGCAATCATGTGCGTGGCTGTAGTGTGTGAAATAATACATATGAAATAACACATATATACGTGTAGAATAATACATGTATTATTTGACTTTTACATGACCTTTTATAAAATATCGATAAATATTTGCGCAATTGATTCCTAAGTATGTTAGCAAAACAATAGTGACGAATTATCTTTAGCGGAATATTTGCAAAATCATAGTATTATCATACTACATTTCAAGAAGCTACTATTTTACAATGTTTGGGCAATTTTCTTAGCGGGGTCTATGCTTGAGTGGAACGTTGCGATTTCGAGCGGCAGCATTTTCACTGTTGCTTCGGGTGAAAGTACTGCCACTTCTCACTCGTTTTGAGTGAGATTCCACCCTAAGAGATTTAGAGAGCGCAAAATTGATTTTTACTCTTTGCCGTGAATCGGGCATTAAGTAACACCAATGTAACACAGATATATCAATATTTGTGCCGAGCTTTCTGTGTAAACCGAGCTGCCTGGAGCGTCGAGGAGGGAAAGATAATAGCCGAGCCGATAAACATTGCTCGCGTTATACGGCTTGTGGGATAAATTTCTTTATAGGGGAACAGTTCGGGTTTTACAGCTAGCCGCATCGTTTAAGTCGAAAATGAAAGTGAATCTCCGAAGGTCGAACGAATCAAGTTTACTGCCCCCGTAAAAAGAATAAAAAGCGGGCGGGCCGGTATTAAACGGTGCGCCGTTTCGTTCCGTCGACTCGCTTTATCCTGTAACGATCATTGCACGGAGAGGTGAGTAATTATGGAATTTCTTTGTGCACGCGACTGAACACTTCGATCCGTGTGAACCGATCGAAATTCAACGCCTTCACTCACATACTCACACACATACAAATTGAAAGAACATATAAGACTGATTATTAAACAAGTAGATCCCTTTCGTTAGCGAACTAGAACGCTCGGAGAGAGTTGATATTGTCGCACTGCGAAAGAGGAATGGAGATGTATGCGTGAATGGAGTGAGAGAGAGAGAGAGGAGCGAGAGGGAGAGAGATAAAAAGAGAGAGAGAGAGAAAGAGATAGAGAACTATATAGCCGGAGGGCGGATGCAGGATAACCATTAGTCAAGGCTGTCAGGGGCCGCGGAGATGTCCTTAAGAAGGAGCTTGAGGATACACTTGGGATCCAAGGCTGCGAGGAGAAAGCGCGAAACCGAAATCCGCGAGTATCGGCGTTGGATCGAGTGCTCAACTGCCGTATGAAGCCGTGTAATTTCCGTTCCGAGCGATTAACACTCCACGCGCGACATTAGTGGGAGACTTTGCGCGCATTCCAAAAGCTTCCGAATACTGGCGACAAGTATCGTTAAATATCGTCACCAGTACTCGCGGTTCTCATTCGCGACGTTCCGATCGGGGCAGACGATCGTTAAGGTAATTGTACGAAAACGAGATTGGCGCGCTCGAAACCGAAAGGTTTCACCACACACTAGTGATGATCGCTCGCGCTAATAACGTCGCTCCTCGCGCGGGAGATCGATCCTTATTCCTCCGCGTCACTGGCAACAATCGATGAAGTTAATGATGAAATCTTGATCCCAGGACGCGGCGCGTTCCCCAGGCTGGACGTCGCTGTCGTATCCTCTCATAGCGGTACGATGTAATCTATTTTCCTGGATGTGCGTAAACCGCGAAGCAGGAGAAGGAGGAGGAGGAGTAGGAGGAGGAGAAGGTAATCCCATCCGTTTGCACGATCCCGAGGCGAATGGAACACGCGACAGAGATAGAGAGATAGACAGATAGATGGATCGCGACAACCTGAACGTCACATAGTGGAGAAAGGGAGAGAAGACGAGAAAACGAAAGGAAGAGAGCGAGCGAGAGAGAGAGAGAGAGAGAGAGAGAGAGAGAGAGAGAGAGAG